TGCTGCCATCAGGAAAGTGAAAGTTCAAGATAGGAAAATAATTATCAGGCTTATCACCAGCTTTGTTATAAAACAATTCTGATTGTAATTTTAACAGTGAAGATCGAGGATACCAGGAAAGGGTGTATAGTGTTCTTGAGTGAAAGTTCAGGCGGATATATAGGATCGACAAGGTCAATAAATTCCTTTTTTAAACATGCACATATAGAAACTTTATTCATTTTACAACAATTATGAAACAAGTTTTAACAACTTATATTAATCGCTCTTGTTGGCCCGGATGTTAGCGCGCGTGGGTATTAATGTAGGAGGAAACCAGAGTACCCGGAGAAAACCAGAGTACCCGGAGAAAACCAATGTGGCCCCCTACCTTTACACGTCCTTATATCAAGTCAGTATAAGTCTGACATATCTCTAAGTAAAGTAAATATAGTTTGCAAAGGTGTATTTTTCTAATAATTTATACAAAAAAAACCCAGCCTTATATGAAAAACAAAAGCAGGTGGGCCGGCTGACAGGCATTTTTTGTTACCATAGGAGTACCCGAAGTCTGTTGGAGAGTCTGCCACCACAAGCAACATCAACAACGTCAACAAGGAACGCAGTCAATAGCAGGCTCACATCATCAGAATAATTCATCTTATGAGTTTGATATTATTCAAAAAATCTTTCACTTATGCTAATTTAATTAGATTTAAATATATACAATATATCAACCATTGCATAACATAACAACTTTATTACCCCACCAAATGTCAAGGAAATTCATAAAATTTATGATAAATTTGAAAAAGTCGATAGATCAATGTCGCGTATTGATACATATGTATGGGCACTTTATAGTTGAGTATATTTATCAGAATCATTAAGATATGATACGATTTAATGTTTCCCACATACTGATAAGGCATATTGTACATATATATATATATATATATGTGTGTGAAATATACACTGGATGCACTTGCTCTCTGGAATGGTGACGTGTGCTGAACTATGTCAGTAGGAATAACGATAATATTTATCTATACGTCATATCATAACTTGATTTCTCTAAACTTAACACATTTATGTCATTCGTTATATCTTAACGAATGACACACCTAATGTTGATGTACTCCAGTTTAGCAGGATTTTAATCAACAAGCATATTAATTACATACATATCATTTCAGATTGATGTACTTAGATGTTGTATGTTGTACTTATTTTTTAAATTTACAACACAATTGAGGGGCCGCGGTAGGCGAAGTGGTTAAGGCGTCTGCCACCACTAGCCCTCCACCACTAGGTCGCGGGTTCGAGGCCTACGTTGGGTAGTCGCTAGGTACTGGTCGTAGGTTGGTGTTTTTTCTCCAGGAATTCCGGCTTTCCTTCACCAGGTTAGTTAAGTGGACATTGAGGTTCGCCTTAATGTGTTTACACTATATGTCAGATGGTTTAAATTGCCGTGAACAGAAACAAGTTATTTCCATAGTGAATTTTTCTAAAAAATTATTGAGATCATGGATAAGTGCATTTGTCTACAGTGGCATCACAATACTAATGACGTCATTAATTGTTGTGTACTTCAACAATGACATCACTGTTCCCTGAATAGTTGAAAGTATTTTTATGCATAACATTTGAATGCCTTATTATAAATATTTTCTCTGAAAAAGTTGCATGTTTTTTGTACTTGAGTTCACACCATAAAAACACACAGAATCTGTAAACAGTATTCAATGTATACGCCAATATGCATGCAATAGATAATAAAGACAGGTTTCATATACGTGTCATTACAATAAATCACGACATAAAATGTACAGTACTATACAATATCATAACGATATGTATATTCAGTCTAAAGGATCAAAACAAGGTCATCTTAAATTGCGTTATATGTTTTAAAGATTACATATTCATATTTAAATGAGGTAATTAATTATAAATTAATAGAAAGCCGGGCACACCACATTACAAATGTAAAGTATTGTGATATAGATGTATGACAGCTAATAAGCAAGAGGTACAGCCATACATTTCAACACTTAAATAGACCTTTATGACAACCGCCGTATAAAGTAAACCAGTTTTACCATATACATATACTTATATATGACCAGCTTAAGCTTAACAGGCTTAGTTATATTATAGAACAATTTAGTTCAACTGACTCTTTTGCTTCGTATCAATAACATATTATAATATATGCATATCAAAGATATCGGCCCCTCAACCGTTAACTGTAACGCAAGCCATAAAAGGACCAATTACACACCACAGAATGTATCATGATACCGGACATACTAGCAAAACAAACTTCTAACCTCGATCACAGATAATAATATACGGTACTGATACGTTCTCAGATCATCACAAAAACCTCTGCTCAAATATTCATTAACATCTGATGTTTATGAACCGCAGTTTATATATTCTATTCAATATCGAAACAATAAATGTGAAGAGTAACTTTTCTTCGATACTCCACAGTTTTTTTTATATTTAAGTCACAAACACAACAAAGAAAGGTTGAACAGTTGAAAACTCTACCAATTACCTGGGTACATACATTGATCATTAGCCTATTCAAGTTTTCTGTCCTGTTAACATGATTTTAACAAAACAAGCAGGCTTCCGAAATGAGAGAAACAGGGAGACCGCATACCGAAGCCTCACAGCAACCATTGTTTAGATGGAGAAACGAATAGCCTTTCTTCACACGACTACAAACACTGTTAAATTGTAGAAAAGACCAACCTTTCAACACATGGGAAAAGCAGCCGAGAGAATTGTAAGGATCAACAGATTGCAGTTAATATATATGTTGAATTCCTGTTTTTTAACACATCTCCATGTTTCTTGAAAATAAGAAGATGTATAGGATAACTAAAAATTAGACAGCACACACCTTAGAACTGACAGTAGCACAAGTTGCCCTTAATGCATTTTAAACGACACAGCATTAATTTCCTTTACATGCATAGCCTGTAATTTCACAACTTCACAACGCATGCAAGATGGTAGACAAAACGCCTGATCAATCAACAGTTTGTTTGGCAAAAGTTGGGTATGTATTATTTGTGGTGTGTTCAGATCCTATGATACATACAACATGCATAAGAAAGCGAATTGACCTAACAGAAACGTCAGTGACAGTTAAATGAAACCCATTAGTATACAAATTTGATTAACTGAATTCAAATACAGATAATGAGAGCATACAAGTCTGCTAGAGATTCAGCATGTCTTTAATGCACCCGCACTATAGATCCATACTTCCTTACAAACGTTCTTATGATCCTACTCTTTGCGAGCGTGAATGCATAAACATCACAAGAACCCTATTAATATGGTTTGTAAAGTAGTTTAACACAATTGTGAAAATGACAATTACATTGTTCTGTAAGGTAGTATTACTCTACATTTCAACTTCAAAATAACATGGTTTGTAATGAAGTGTAATGTGAACTTAAGTTAAAAATAGCTTAGTAAGTAAGATAGGGAAATATTATGAAAAAGAAACAAAACAAACGAAGAAAGGTGTGAATTCCGAACTGTGAAATGTGAATCCGAATGTGGCTTACGTTCTCCAAGTGAAAACCAGGGAAGTACAAACAGAATAACAAGACATATTAATGAGCTTAGTAAAAAGAACTTATATATGTAAATCAAACAAGGAAATATATCTCATTTCCGTCATAACGTTGACCCACAAAATGAAAAAAAACACCTAAGATATTCATATCGAATAAGGAAATTGCATATTTCCCAATCAGATCATTATGGCGTCCATAACACTTGCGGTTACTCTTCATCAGCCTGCATCGCTTTCAGCATTATACATATACCATGGACATTATGAAATCAGGCAAGTCCATTCATATTGATACATTATCTTAACATACTAACCGTTTATGTGAAGTAGGAATGATAAGATCAAGAAATGTTAAGTTCGTAAATTTGGAATTTCAACTCGTCGCCCTTATCATATAGTTAAGGAGCAAAGCTGTAGGCTGAGTTGTACTTGTACCGTACAAATCGAACTAAGTTGGAGATGTAGAAGAGTGTGTTTGTTCCTTGATGATAATTTCAGAAGGAATAAGACTGACGCTATCTATACATTTCTTTCTATTCAAAATCAGTTTTATTTATCCGAAAGTTTATTTTTAGATTTTGACTGTACCGATGATTTACAAAGCAATTCGGTCATGACACCGGCAAGCTTTCCCAAAGTGTATGACAACAGACTTTACAGATTTGTTAAGTAGTGTAAGGTTTAAAGAATACAAATAAGGTGGCAGGAAAGGTTATGTAACACAGCCTTAATGTATTTTGTAAGTGAATGGATATTAGCATTGGTTATAGTCTTTCTATATATAAATATATATATTGGTTACCAAAATCGCATTTATAAACATGATTTATAGCAAGGATGACTCATAGAGTGTGAAGAACGCTTAAACGGTGATGGTCATTAGTTCAGATAATCAAGTTTAGAAAGATATTTCTTTAGATATCATTTGATAATAAATCCAAAGGATGGGAACAAATGATAATCAATCTCACACGGACGGATACATGTGTAAATATATATTTTATCGCACACAAAATAGTAAAAAATAATTGTCTTCGCAAACTAACGATTTTACATGATCGAAACGTCAGTGAACTATTACGTCACAATACAAGTCTTATTTCACAAAACATTGTGACGTCATTCCACTTCTAATAACGACGTAATACGGGTGGAGAGTGATGACAATAAGTGGCCAACTTGTATATAGATACGATGTTGATTGGGACCAATGCGACTAGGATGGATATTAAATCCTATAGGTATTTGCTCTTTATTTAAGTTCCATACTTAGCCGAGAAGAAACGTTATAAAGGCCACGGCGGGCTGTCCATAACGATACGCAGCGCTCAGTATCCTAGAGTATGTAACAATCAATTATCATCATACGGGGATAAAGTCAAGTAAAGAAGCTTAAAAGTTATGAAATCATTCTTACCTTATTGATGATTTGATGCATGGGAATGGGGCGCCTCTGTAAGTAATGTCTTCTCAACTACAACGCAGAAAATATCCACAATTTCCAGCTATAGTCAGAACGAACGCACTAGCAATCCAAAAGCAGGCAACATCAGCAATATCAAAACACTCAATACATTTTCGGGTATGCTTCAAATATTAATCAGCAGTCACAAGTTATTTGATAAAGTACATACATATTGTGTGTATTAAATTACTTACTTCATACGCGTGTAAATCAATAAGAACTCATTCTCATTGCCCCTTTCATTGTGGAATCTACAAAATAAAGGTCTCTCCAAGCACTGTTATATTTGCCACTTGCATCCTAGGAAGATATGTATGATAAATTAATTTCCAGAAATATGTTTATAAATTGCTGATATCTGGTAAAACCTAATCTGCGTTTCGCTACGTTATACACACACTTAACGTAAAGTTCAGTGCTCCTTTATATATATATCCATTCAAAAAGTGACACGACCTAACTTCACTTAGCTTTCCGTAAGCCAAAACAATAGCTACATAGGTAAAACGAATGACTACACTGCATCGCGTGGGTATAGGTCCCTAGCCGGCTACCTGCCAGAGAACGATCCGTCCTGTGTGTTTATCAGTAGAGTGCGTAGCACTGCCACAGTCCCCAATGGATATCCTATTGATCATGTTGTCCAAATCCGCGCCGCCTAGCTTACTTACTGGTATATTCCCTCTACACGCCAGCAAGGATTGTGTCAGAGTTACAGTAGACGGTGGTATCGCACAGAACACCTCAGGAAATGATATCTGTAGCACAGGGAACAAATTTATACCACATAGAAAACAACAGGAACTGAAATCTGTACCACATAGAAAACACCAGGAACTGAAATCTGTACCACATAGAAAACACCAGGAACTGAAATCTGTACCACCTAGATTACCTAAGGGAAATCACATGTGTAGCACTGTGTACATGTATATCCTACATATAACAAAATAAACTAAAATCTGTACTACATACAGGTAGATAACCTTTAAAAATGATATCTTAGGCATAGGTAACACATTTAGACCACATAGAAAACAACAGGAACTGAAATATGTACCACATGGAACACCTTGAAATAAAATAGAATGCACAGTGTACATTTCTATACCACATATTACACAATATTAACTGACATCGGTACTACATATATGTAGATAACCTCTTGAAATTATATCTTAAGCATAGGTTACACAATTATACCACATAGAAAACACCAGGAACTGAAATCTGTACTACATAAAACACCCCAGATAATGATTTATGTTACAGAGACAAATATATACCATATAGGAAACAACAGGTACTGAAATATATACCACATAGAAAACAACCGGAACTGAAATCTGTACTACATAAAACACCCCAGGAAATGATTTATGTTACAGAGACAAATCTATACCATATAGGAAACAACAGGTACTGAAATATATACTACATAAAACACATTAGGAAATAATTTATGTTACATAGGAGACAAATCTATACCCCATGAAACACAACATGAACTGAAACTGTACTACATAAAACACAACCTAAACTGAAATCTGTACTACATACAACACAACATGAACTGAAATCTGTACTACATAAAACATAACATGAACTGAAATCTGTACTACATAAAACATAACATGAACTGAGATCTGTACTACATAAAACACAATATGAACTGAAATCTGCACTACATAAAACACAACATGAACTGAAATCTGTACTACATAAAACACAATATGAACTGAATTCTGTACTACATAAAACACAACATGAACTGAAATATGTACTACATCAAACATAACATGAACTGAAATCTGTACTACATAAAACACAACATAAAATGAAATCTGTACTACATAAAACACAACATGAACTGAAATCTTTACTACATAAAACACAACATGAACTGAAATCTTTACTACATAAAACACAACATGAACTGAATTCTGTACTACATAAAACACAACATGAAATGAACTCTGTACTACATAAAACACAACATGAACTGAAAACTGTACTACATAAAACACAACATAAACTGAGATCTGTACTACATAAAACACAACATGAACTGAAATATGTACTACATAAAACACAACATGAACTGAAATCTGTACTTCATAAAACAAAACATGAACTGAAATCTGTACTACATATAACACAACATGAACTGAGATCTGTATTACATAAACACAACATGAACTGAGATCTGTACTACATAAAACACAACATGAACTGAAATCTGTACTACATAAAACACAACATGAACTGAAATCTGTACTACATAAAACACAACATGAACTGAAATCTGTACTACATAAAACACAACATGAACTGAAATCTGTACTACATAAAACACAACATGAACTGAAATCTGTACTACATAAAACACAACATGAACTGAAATCTGTACTACATAAAACACAACATGAACTGAAATCTGTACTACATAAAACACAACATGAACTGAAATCTGTACTACATAAAACACAACATGAACTGAAATCTGTACTACATAAAACACAACATGAACTGAAATCTGTACTACATGAAACACAACATGAACTGAAATCTGTACTACATAAAACACAACATGAACTGAGATCTGTACTACATAAAACACAACATGAACTGAAATCTGTACTACATGAAACACAATATGAACTGAATTCTGTACTACATAAAACACAACCTAAACTGAAATCTGTACTACATAAAACACAACATGAACTGAAATCTGTACTACTTAAAAAACAACATGAACCTGAAGGTCTATAGAGGTAAAAAATGTTGCCAGTGATTTTTACTTTGTTTGCTGAGGCTTGGAAAAGCCACAGTTATATAAGTTGAAACCGATATCCTCTCAGCTCGTAAAAGAGAAGCTAAGCTCCGCACGACCAATGTATATATGAACCTTAAGCTCCCGATACCAATGTACATATGTACTTTAAGCTCCCACGACCAATGTATATATGAACTTTAAGCTTCGCACGACCAATGTATATATGAACTTTAAGCTTCGCACGACCAATGTATTAATGAACTTTAAGCTCCCACGACCAATGTATTAATGAACTTTAAGCTCCCACGACCAATGTATATATGAACTTTAAGCTCCCACGACCAATGTATTAATGAACCTTAAGCTCCCGATACCAATGTACATATGAACTTTAAGCTTCACACGACCAATGTATATATGAACTTTAAGCTTCACACGACCAATGTATTAATGAATTTTAAGCTCCCACGACCAATGTATTAATGAACTTTAAGCTCCCACGACCAATGTATTAATGAACCTTAAGCTCCCGATACCAATGTACATATGAACTTTAAGCTTCACACGACCAATTTATATATGAACTTTAAGCTCCACACGACCAATGTATATATGAACTTTAAGCTCCGCACGACCAATGTATTAATGAACTTTAAGCTCCCACGACCAATGTATTAATGAACTTTAAGCTCCCACGACCAATGTATTAATGAACTTTAAGCTTAACACGACCAATGTATTAATGAACTTTAAGCTCCGCACGACCAATGTATATATGAACTTTAAGCTTCCCACGACCAAAGTATATATGAACTTTAAGCTCCCACGACCAATGAATTAATGAACTTTAAGCTTAACACGCCCAATGTATTAATGAACTTTAAGCTCCGCACGACGAATGTATATATGAACTTTAAGCTCCGCATGACCAATGTATTAATGAACTTTAAGCTCCGCACGACAAATTTATATATGAACTTTAAGCTCCCACGCCCAATGTATATATGAAATTTAAGCTTCACACGACCAATGTATATATGAACTTTAAGCGCCCACGACCAATGTATTAATGAACCTTAAGCTCCCGATACCAATGTACATATGAACTTTAAGCTTCACACGACCAATGTATATATGAACTTTAGGTTCCCACGACCAATGTATATATGAACTTTAAGCTCCGCACGACCAATTTATATATGAACTTTAGGTTCCCACGACCAATGTATTAATGAACTTTAAGCTCCGCACGACCAATTTATATATGAACTTTAAGCTCCCACGACCAATGTATATATGAACTTTAAACTTCACACGACCAATGTATATATGAACTTTAAGCTCCGCACGACCAATTTATTAATGAACTTTAAGCTCCCACGACCAATGTATATATGAACTGTAAGAAACTATGTCAACTAAGTCACAAAAAAAATTGACGCGTTATAATGACGCTGATCATTTTTTATGAAGACATCCGTTTTATGCCTTATTACATACAGACTAAGTTAACGGCGCCGTGACCCATTTTAAGAACCGAAGTATACATTAAATTTGTCCAAATGACATGTCTAGATTCTGATGTTTAATTGTTTTTAAAAATGTGTTATCATAATATCGAAATTCGGATTATTGTATCATCTTTCAGAGAGGGCCTATTGACATGAAGCCATTTTATTTAAGAATACCTATTATGTTTAAATTAATTTTGATTTTTATAAATATGAATGATAGTTTTGTTGTAAAATGATGTTGTTGTTGTTGATGATGAAACTGATGATGATGATGTACTTAAGGTCAAATAGAACATGTCTTAATAAGGCCAATAAGTCTGAGGGATATCTACTTTTAAGAAATTTGAAAATGAAGGAGCAGACACTGGTCTGAACAAGAACAATCATTTAACAAGAATAACGATGACCGAGTGGATCCTTAGTAATCTAACAAGATGTTCTGAGGCGGTGTCCGCTCAAAGTTAAACTATTTTAAATTAGACTAAAAGATTAGATTAAAAGTATTTTAAAAGGCGAAGGTAAAGGCAGGAAAACAATGAAATATTAGATAGAGTATAGTAAATAGTATCAATGATACTTACATGAATAAATACAGTATTCAGTATATTTATCAACTATAGACTTTTGTTAATGTGAAAATGTATAGTTACATGAAAAACGGATATCTACCGAAAGTCTCGGTCAATATCATTTTCCAGGTTGATATAACAAACACATATTCGTCGAAATGAAATTCCTTTATTGTTAAATTAGATATGAAATTGTTTGGCATTAAATAAAAGTGAGATTAAGCAAATAGCCCAGAAGAAAAAAGCATTTGGCAGAAAACATTGAAAACCTCTACACCGCATAACGTAGAAGAGTCTTACATCCTCTATGGATGTAAACTGTTTAAACAAAAACACGATACCTCGATGAACAAAATGTTTTATATCTATGAACATTTCATGCTTACGCATTCGTCTTCGGTAATGCAGAACCCTCGTTCGCTCTCTCATGTGAAAACATTATTTGTAAAAAAACTCAAGAATATCCCAACGGTAGCAGTTGAAAATCTGAGTATAGATTTACACATATATTGCTTGTCTTGCAAAGATTCATGAGGTTCAATATAAAGCAATATCGACAGCTCCACAAATACTGTTTGACATTGTAGATAGTATTGAACATAGATGTTCGATATCCTTCGAAAACCAAGTACCGGGAATTAACACTTAGAGAGGAATGGTTGTTGAAAAACTCAAAACTTAATATGGGAGCCAAATCAAAAAGAAACCAAATGAAAGATATGTCATAGCTTCGATATAAAAGGAAAACAGACAACGACACGGACAAATGAGAGGCATTCTTTTACGACAATACCAGCAGTTGTTAAAACACAGATATCATCCTTACAATCATTCATTGATTGGATTCGTCTCCATACACTCATGAAGATA